CCCGGCTGATTTTTGATTTATTGTAGTGATGAGGTCTTGCCAAGTTGCCCAGGTGGGTCTTGAACCTGCGGGCTCAGGCAGTCCACTCACCTCTGCCTCCCAAAGTGCGGGATTACAGGCTGAGCCACCGAGCCCGGCTTGGTTTAAGATTTATGATCAAAATGTAAGGTATTTATATTGTTTATTGATTTCATTTGTCATTCCTATGTTTCGTTACCATTTTATGTGCCATTATGATTTTTTTTAACATTTAATATTCTAAATTGGATAACAAAAGAAGGATATCGGAAATAATTTCAAAGGTTTTCACATACAGGGCTGACTTACAGCTCTTATATTTTCTTCTACCTTTGCCTTTTAGTTTCAAAGTACATATGCTTTCTTTATCTTGATTTCTTTTTATTTAAAATAATGTTCTTAAGAACTTATTATGTTGAACAAAAATTTAATTAGAATATTTTTGTCTAAGTGGAGTATCATTCTTGATCTAAGTGTGAAATATGTTTCTGTTTTTGCATTGCAGCCAGTCTCCATGACTACCATTATTTTTATTAATTAAGAGTCGAGAAAAATCATTTACTACCTTGATTTATCCACCATCGGGGCATGAGTTTTTCTATAAGTACTCCAAGTTTAAGAATTTAAGCATTTTAGGTCGGGCTCGGTGGCTCAGCCTGTAATCCCAGCGCTTTGGGAGGCCAAGGTGAGTGGATTGCCTGAGCTTGCGGGTTTGAGACCCACCTGGGCAACTTGGTGAGACCTCATCTCTACAATAAATAAAAAAGTAGCTGGGCGTGGTAGTGCGTGCTTGTAGTTCCAACTACTTGGAAGGCTGAGGCGGAAGGATTGCCGGAGCCCAGCAGGTCGAGGTTGCAGTGGCCTGGAGCGGCCAATGCACTTCAGTCTGGGTGACAGAATGAGACTCCAACTTAAAAAAAAAAAAAAAAAAAGAATTTAAGCATTTTAGATGACAGTTATGGTAGTCAATTTCCTTAGCAGTTCACAAAGAGGATGCAGAATATATTTTCATCTTTTTTTGTGGTTCAGTTGAAAGCATGCTACCTGAATTCAGGCAGAACTGGGCTCCAGTCCTGGCTTACAAGTTCTGATGTGATTATTTATGTTCAAGGCATTTAACCGCTTTGATTTGTTTATTCATCTGAAAAATGGGCATAATGCTGTTTTTACTTTGAGGGATTTTTGAAGGATTAGAAAATAAGAGTTACAGTAAAGGATATCCAGCAGAGTACCCAGAACAAGGAAACTTAAGAAAAGGTCCCTAGCATCATCATCATCATCAACATCATTACAATATATTTTGCCCATATTTTGTATAATATTGCCCTCTTATATGTTGATGCCTGAGATTATAATAAGGATTTATGCTTGGGTAGACACCGTATGGTTCTAGATCGCTGTTTATATGTTTCAGATCAAACTAACTGTGCAAGGACTTCATGAAGTCCATAGGCTTGATGCATAGATTTTATGGCTGCCTGTGTCTACCCAAAGGCCCCGTTGACTCATCATTCTTAGCTATGTTCTGAAGAGATAAGTTTATTGTATAATTAACAAGTGGGGAAGATTTTCTTATACTTTCTTAAGTCACAATTTCTTGTTCAGAGCAAGAAACCATGTAGAGAGAAATTTTTTGGAATAAGTGTCTGGGTACCTGGGACCCTGAATGCATTTTCTAACTAGCTGTTTGAACTTGAACAAATCAGTAAACCTTTTTGGGACTTGGTTTATTCATCTGTAAAAATTAGTATATTGATTTATCTTTGAGGGTCTTTCCAGCTGTGAAAGTCCTTAATACATTCAACAGATATTTGAGTGCCTATGATGAATGAATGTTAGACATTGCAATGCCAGCTTCCTTTAATATAAATTCATAGGGGTCATGAAATTTAAGAGAAATCATCAATTCACTTTAACTCTAAGCATCACTTTTGGAATTAATTTTTTCACCAAGCTTGTTTTTAAGGTATATGAATTGTTGTAAACAGCCTCATGGTTTTAAACGTCATTTGTACATTCATGTCTTTTAAATTTATATCTTCAGCTAGATGTCTCCCCAAAACTTCACATTTATATGTCCGCCTCCTTATCTCACATCTGTATTAGGACCGCTTAAGAGCATCTCTTGCTTAACATTTGCAGAATGAAATTCCCAATTTTCCATGCTGCCCCCGACTCCAAACCTGCTTCTTTTACAGACTTCCTCATTTCAGTAAAGGGAAGCTTCATCCTTTTAGTTTCCCAGGCTAAAAAGCTCGGAGTCATCCTTGACCCCTCTATTTTACAGTATTTAATCTGTCATTCCACTGGTAAATCCTGTAGTGTTTGTTTTCAAAATACAAACAGAATCTGACTACTTTTCTTCCTACCAGATCATCCTGGTGCAAGCCCGTGACAGCCTACATTACTTCAGACACTTTTTAATGGTCTTCTTATTTCTACTTTTGTCATCTTATATCCTTTCTGAGGACAGCAATCAGAGTGATTTCTTTAAAATAAAAAGTCATATTATTCTTAAAACTGTACAGTGGTCATTCCTCACCTTATTTGGAGTATAAGCTCTCAGTGGCATTCCTCTGTTCCCTGCATAATCTTACTCAATCTTGAACTTGAAGTCCTACCTCTCTCTGCCTTGTTTATTTATTTTGTCAGGCTGGTCTTCTTGCTGTTTCTCAGACACGTTAAATGCACTCTCCTACATATTTGTACTTGCTGTTATTTCTGGGTGAAACTTTTTTTTCCCCATATAGCCGCATGGTTTAGTCCTCTACTTTCTTTGGACTGTTTGCAGTAGGTCATCTCAGTGAAGTCTTCTCTGACCATCCCATAAAACAGTGGTCCCCAACCTTTTTGGCATCAAGAACTGGTTTCATGGAAGACAGTTTTTCATGGACCAGGAAGTGGGGGAAATGAT